TCAGAAAAAAGATCAAAACAAAATGAAGAAAGCCTAAGGTTCATGTGGGATACCATCAAAAGGAATAACCTATATGTAATCAGAATTCCAGAACAAGAAGACACAAATAAACCACAGAGAAAATTGCCAAAGATTTGTTGGAAGAGAATTTTCCTGGTATGATGAAAGATAAGGATATATCCATTCAGGAAGTCCAACAAACTCCAAACAGGATAGACCCCAAAAGAAAATCACCCAAACATATCATCATCAAACTTACCAAAACCAAAGACAAAGAAATCATGAGAGCAGCACGGGAAAAACCAAAAGTTACCTACAAGGGGCAACCAGTAAGCTTGGATTTCTCAATGGAAACCATGCAGGCGAGAAGACAATGAGATGGTATATATAAAACCCTGAAAGAGAAAACTTTCCAACCAAGAATTATATACCCAGCAAAACTGTCCCTCAAATATGATGGTGAAATGAGGACATTTCCAGATAAGCAGAAATTGAGGGAATTTGTTAAAACCAGACCAGCCTTACAAGAGATACTAAAGGGAGCCCTCTGGACAGAGAAGCAACAACAGCCAACAACAACTGACCATTAACACACATGATGATATAACCCAGAAACCAACCCAGCTATGGAAGTATCCTAAGTAAATAAGCCAACTAGATTGTAAACAGGAAACCAGACACATCAATTGACTAATGAGGACAACTACAAACCAAAAAGAGAGAAAAAACTATGTCATTACAGAACTTCTAGATGGTAGGGAAGTCAAGACAACTACAAGATAGAACGGACTGTTCTAAATTTAGGAAGAAAACTATAAATCACAGGGTAACCTCAAAGAAAAATTATAAACCTGCACATCAAAAAAGAGGACCAGCATAAATACTCAGCAAATACTAAAACAATAGTAATGAACAAGCTCAGCATAAAAATTATACGGAACAAAGAAATCGACACCACGAGAAAGCATGTAACAAAAATGACAGCAACAAATTCATATTTGCCGATAATTACGTATCTGACAAGGGACTTATCTCTAAGATTTATAGTGGAAGAGTGGATGACCAAGCTATGGTACATACACATAATGGAATGCTATGTAGCACTAAAGAATAATAATGTAGAGTCTTCAAAACACCGCATAATATGGATGAACTTGGAGGACACTATGCTGAGTGAAATAAGTCAATCACAGAAGGACAAATATAGTATTAGTTCGTTGTGGAGGATCAAGAAAAGGTTTATATATGGAGGGAAACTTTCTTTGTTGGTTGCCAGGGGTGGGAGGGAAGGGGAAGGAACACTGCAAAAAAAAAAAAAAAGCATTGACCCATGTCACTTAATTTTGTGTATTTCACTGTACATAAATTATATTTCAATAAATGCATTAAAAAATGAGATGGTATGTGTGAAATTATCAAGTATAACGCTCTTCAAACATGTAAGGAAAATTTAAAATGATGAGCAATACTTAATAAGATACAAGTTAGTCCCATGTATAGCATGACCATCCATGAAAGTTCACAGGAGAGAAACTCGTGAGGGCAAAAGTCGTCAAGATAGGCTTTGTGGAAGAAGTGGGCTTGATATGGGCCTTGAGGTGTTCACAGAGCTCAAAATGGCTGAGGGGAAAGAAAACACATTCTAGTTGAGGGGACTAGCATATGTGAAGGCCTGGAGGCAGCAATGCAATTTTTCTGAGAGAATGAAGAGAATGGCCGATTAGAGCTGACAATTTGTATTGCGGCTAGTGGGAAATAAAGTTGGATAACTATGGTAAAGTTAGAATGCTAAAGGTCTTAGAAAGACAGGTAAAATAGATTAGATGTGGTGGGAATTTGGGCGCTAATAAGGTTTTCTGAGCTGACATCATAAAAATGGTGATTAAACAAGATAGCCAATCTGGCAGTGATGAGCTGGGAGAGAAGGGAGAGACTGAAGTTAAGGGCATTAACTAGTATAGGGTTTCTAATAAATTTGAATGAATGTTGAATGAATGAATGAATGAAAAAATGTTGGAATACTATAGACTTAACCCCTGGATAAAGACTGTGGAAACAGAAAAGGCAAGGAAAAGATCATGTGGTATTTAGAAGGAAAAGCTGTCAGTACATGATGACTATCTGACTAGATTTGAGGGATAAAGATGAGGGCTATCCAAAATGCCTGCAACATTTTCAGCTTAGTGCCTGGGAGAAGGAAAATGCTACTGACGTAAGTGGGGAAATCTGGGGGACAAGGAACAGAGAAGCTGGTTCAAGAGAGAAGATGAGCAACCTAGTTATGGACATGTCTGAGGCAGGAGTGAAAATATAAACTATTTCCATCTGAGTGTATCAAGCACATTTATATACGTTAGCTCATTGGATCATACTTAATCTTTACAAAAACTCTATGAGGTAGGTGTTATTATTCCGAGTTTACAAATGAGGAAACTTGACCAATTTCGCATAGCTCTGGTAGGAGCTCTGGTAACGTAGTGCCTAAGGCACTTGACTGCCAACCAGAAGGCTGGCGGTTCAAACCCACCAGCCACTCCTCAGAAGGAAGGTTAGGCAATCTACTTCCGTAGTGATACTGCCTTAGAAACCCAAGGAGGGGTCGCTATGAGTCGGGTCCGACTTGATGGCAAATAACAACAACAACAACTGGTGGTGTAGTGGTTAAGGCATTTGACAGCTAACCAAAACCAAACCCTCCAACCACTCCATGCAAAAAAGATGAGGCAGTCTGCTCCCATAAAGATTTATAGCCTTGGAAACCCTATGGTGGTTGCTATGAGTTGGAACTGACTCGATGGTAGTGAGGTGTTTTTTGTTTTTCTTTTTTAGTAAATGGCTGGGTGAAATTTGAACTCAGACTGTCAGATTCTGAAGCACTTGCTAAAACTTTCTACATAGTCCCATACATAATTTCTATGTAATTTCTCTAACCTGTAGCTAAACATTTCCACTTAGAAAGTGGCATATAATAGGAGCAGCCAGGTGTGGTGAGGTGGGTAGGGAGGTGGGGGGTATAGTTAATGGAAGATAAAGATTTGAGAGTCTACTATCATTATCAAAGATTAAATGCCTGTTATATAGCAAGAATAAAGGATAAAAACAGGTATGAGATAAAGAAATGAAGTTCAGAGAGATTCAATAAATTGTTCAGGGTCTCACAGCTAGTAACAGGTAGACTGGTAAGATTGAACCTAGGTAAGTAGGTAGGTTGGTTTATTTATTTAAAACCCAGGTTTTTAAATTCCAAATTCAGTGTCCTTTCTGTATGGGAAATCTCAACATAGGTTGAGGGAGAAGACCAAGTGGGGCTGGGAAGATAATTAGCATTGACTGATCATCTATTATGTCCCAGCCTTAAGTGTATCACTATATATAGTTGTATCTGTATCTACATTTATCTATATTTATATTGTATATGATATATACAAAGGAGCTCTGGTGGCGTAGTGCCTAAGGCATTTGACTGCTAACCAGAAGGTTGGCAGTTCAAACCCGCCAGCCACTCCACAGAAGGAAGACTGGGCATCTACTTCTGTAAAGATTTACTCCCTTAGAAACCAAAAGGGTTCTATGAGTAGGAATCGACCTGATGGAAGTGAGTTGGTTTTTTTTATATACAATATATATGTGCTTCTGATTCAATCCTCCCAACAACCTGATGAAATAGCTATTACCATCCCTATTTTATAAAGAGAAAATGGAGGCTCAGAGAGTGAAAGTTAACTCCAAAGGTAGGTACCAGGAGGTAAGAGGGCACAGTTAGAAGCAATCTGTCTTCCTGAGCTTTGCAGGTGCCTGTAATAGGTGAGAATTTATTTTGCACACCTTGCATCCAGAGTCAGTCCTCATGATTTTTAAAAATTCACATAATAGAGGAACTTGAAAGGAATTATTATTATTAACTGAAGTTCATACTTTATTAGATTTCCTTATCAACCTTTTTCTGTTTCAGGATCCCAGTCAGGACATCACACTGCATTTAGCTGTCATGTTTCTTGCCATCTCTTGGCGAAGAGGACATTTTCTCAGGCTTTTCTTGTCTTTGCTGACTTGACAGCTTTGAGGAGCACTGGTCAGATAGATTGTAGTATGACTCTCAATTGGGATTTGTCTGATGTTTTTCTTGTCAGAAGTGGGGTTGTGGGGTTTTGGGAGAAGGGCAAAGAAGTAAAGTGCCATTTTCATCACATCATATCCAGGTACATACTGTCAACATGACTCATCACTGTTATCTTTTTTTTGGTCACCTGGCTGAGGTGGTGTCAGGTTTCTCCAGGGTACAGCTACTGTTTTTTCTCTCCTTTCTAAACTGTGATCTTTAGTAGGAAGTCACTATGCGCAGCCCACATTTAAGGAGTGGGGCTCCATCTCCTTGAGGGTGAAGTATCTACATACATTATTATTTGGAATTTGTCTGCACATATTTGTCTGTTCTCTGTCATTTATTTATTTGGAATTATTATTTATATAATCTGAGTACCCCAATCATTTGTTTCCCAAAGCAGCAGACATATTTACGGTATAAGTAAAGACTGAATGGTTTTGAATTTGTTTTTTAAAAATGCCTGATTTCCTGTAAAACTATTCCTCACCACAGAGCTGAGATTTGTTAAGAATGAAGCAGAATAAAAACTGTTAGTGCTGAGTGCTTGTATCAGGTTAAGACATGTTCCAGTGTTTATAAATACAGGCATGAAAACCAGCACTACAGGCAGGTGGGACATACACATCAGAGAGGCTGGCGTGGATGACTTTTGAGGTCCTCCCCCAGCTCTGAAACTCCCCAACAACTAACATTTACAAGTGCCTGTTCTTTGCCAAGTATTACAGCACAGGTCATGTCATTTGACCCTAGTCTATGATTACCCACAAAAGGTACAAGAAATGCAACACAGAGGGCAAAGGCAGCTGTCTGCTCACCTTATCCATGCTGGCCTGGTTCAGTCTCATAATGGAAGCATGAGCCAGGCGGTCGTAGACTGTCCTCAGGGCCTTTTTGGAGTAGAGCTCTTGGGGTTTGAACAATTCCTCCATGAACTTTCTATTGAACATGGTGGAGATGATGTCATTCAGAACTGTGGAGACGAGAGAATACAGCTAAGCAAGGGAGTGGAGGAAACTTCATTCAGAAATGCTTTGTGTACTGCTCTCTCTGTGAATGGAGCAGCTGGGTGTATTCAGAGGCGGGATGCTGATGTGATAGGTGGGATTTGCTTCCTGGGCAGAACACATGGTTTCCTCATAGAAAGCAGGGGGACAAAAGTACTTTATAAGACCATTTCAGGGGAAGCTTAAAGGATGACAGCGTACAAATGTGTGGTCCTTCAGAGTGTACGCAAACCACCTTTTCCAATATTATCTCACTTGATAGTAGCAAAATATTTTTTCTATCTTTAAAAAGATTCTTATAGCATATAGATTAGATCTCTTCCTAAAACAAGAAATAGCAACTTTTTTAAAAAAGTAAATCTTTAATATTTTTTACTTAAAATTAAGTTTTATAAAATTGGGACCAGTGATGGTAATTGATTCTTCTTCTGCAAAACATTTTATGAAAATATGCAAGCCTAGAAGAGGAACTACAGGAAGCAAGTGGGAAGAGAGCTGTTACATTTGGGGAATGGCTTTCAGGATCATGAAACAAAATGTGTATGAACTGCTATATAGAAAATGAATTTGCTCTGTCAACTTTCACAAATCACAATTAAAAAATTCTACCTACTGGTTGGTTAGACACTAAAAACTTTTAATATTAGCACAGCCTTAAGTTTTACATTTGATCTGTAACACTGACGTTGCACTGTAGTGACAGATCTCATACTGTTGCTCCATTGGGAAAACTCCTTCTGGATAGAGAACAAAAGGTCCCAAGGAGTGTGAACCAATGTACCTATAATTCTAGGTCTGGATTTATTCACTCAGAAATTTTGTGCTAGACAACTAAGGGTCATTAGTTGAAGGCTAGGAAAACCTTCTAGTATAAGAAAGAGGAACAAGTATGTCTGAACCCAGCTTATTCTTAATTAAGCCTGCTAGATTCTGGCCTATAGGTGAGAGCATATGGATGCTAAAAATATATTTATGGTAATTAAAATTTGAAAGAAAACTGGATTACTAAATATCTCACTACTGTTGAGTCAATTCTGTCTCATAGTGACCCCTTTTGGGTTTCTGAGGTGGTAAATCTTTATACGGAAGTAGATTGCCCAGTCTTCCTTCCGAGGAGTGGCTGGTGGGTTTGAACCACCAGCCTTCTGGTTAGCAGTCAAATGCCTTAGGCACTATGCAATATAATTATACAAAAAAAAAAAAAAAAAAATCAGTTCTTGAACACAGGTGATTATTATGAAAGGTATAAACTCAACTCCTCTTTCTTTTGGCTAATACGAGGGGCATGCCAGCTGATTGGCCATGGCCACCTATCTTAGAGAGTGAGACAAAGGAGAACAGTGAGATTATTATTTCAGGCAACTTTTCTTCCTGTAAATAATTGAGAGGAGAACCCTGAGGACCCAGGCCAGTATTTTAAATCATCACGAAGTGTTTCTGAAGGGTGAGGGAGCTGGTCGTACTTAAATCGTAAATGGAAGGGTGTGGGGGGAAGTGGGGGACAGAGATTTCCGCCCCCACTGACACCAAAGGACTCACTTGTGATTCCTTATGAAGTGTTGAATTCACGCTTGACTTTTGGATGATTATACTCTAGTCTCCCTCCTATTATTCAGTGATGAAGAACCAAATCCATTACTGACACAGAGTTTCCCTCATATCTGACAGTTTCAAGTCATCGCAGCTTGCCTTCAATGTGCACTAATATTTCCCCAATGTGAACAGCTTGGAGACTGGTTAATGCTTCCAGGTTTGCTGCATTCAGGGACTTTTTCCTTCAACCTAAACAGGTAAGAGCCTGTGATAACTGTGCTTTCTAACATTATTCTTACCACAGCCTATATAAAATGCAAAATTTCCAAGGACCTAAAACCAAACCCCTGGAGAAGGATATCATACTTGGTAAGTGGAGGGTCAGTGAAAAAGGGGAAGACCCTCAACAAGATGGACTGACACAGTGGCTGCAACAACGGGTTCGAGTATACCAAGGATTGTGAGAATGACGCACGACCAGGCAGTATTTTGTTCTGTTGTATGGCACCTAACAACAACAACAAAAAAAAACCCAAACTTATTGCCACCGAGTTGATTCCAACTCACTGCAACCCTACAGGACAGAGTAGAACTGCTCCACAGGATTTCTAAGGCTGTAAATCTTTACGTAAGCACACTGCCTCATCATCATCCTACCACAGAGCGGCTGGTGGGTTAGAACTGCCAACTGTTTGGTTAGCACTGAATGCTTTAACCACTGTACCACCCGGGCTCCTTTTGCAAGGAACTAGGTACAATTAGGGAGCTCTGGTAGCATAGTGGCTAAAGCACTTGACTGCTAACCAGAAGGCTGGCGGTTCAAACCCACCAGCCACTCC